GAGTTTAGTTATTTCCGTTTTTAAATTTTTTTCGAAAAAAATTTGAAATTTTTCAAAAATTTAATTACGCTCAATTATTTTTGTTTTTTACATGTTTTTTAAAATTCTTTTAAGTTTTTCAAAATTTATAAAGTTTCAAGCTAAAAGATCAAAGCAATTTTAATACTATAATAGCTCATAGGTATTGTAATTTTTACAATATATGTAAACATGGTAAACTTTTGCACAGTTCATATTTTTAGGTGTTTACTATCAAATGGAAAAATTCGGACAACTACCATTTTTCCGGATGGCACACCATGCGGTGTCGAACATTACTGTGTCAAAGGTCGATGTAGGGTAGTCTACATTTTTTTTCTAAAATATTCCTGATTTGTTTTTTTAAGAAGAAAGTAAAATAAAAATCATGCAATTGTATTTATAAATTTTTAAATTTGAATATCATTGTTAATTTTTGGAATATTCATTTTTAATTATTTAACAAAAAAATGCATAAAATATTTTTCTCTTTTTAGAATGTTTATTAACAAATTTAAGTATAATTAATTTTAAACTATTTTTCAAAAAAAATTTAAGGAGTATCTTTATGATTTTTTACTAAATTAATACTAAAGTTTTAAGCAATGTCAAAATTAACAGAAATTGAATTGCAATGGACGAGGAGTTGTTGAATTCTCATCACATTGTCCAAAACGAAATAAATTTGTGGAAAATGGTTTGGTGCAATTAATAAAAAAACATGTTAAAATTGTAATAAACGATGTGGCAAATCAAACAACTGAACAAAGTTAGCCGAATGCTTCCTACAATTTAAATCTTACAAAAACTCCAAAATTTTAAAAGATAAAATTTGTGATGATAAAAAAAAGAAATAACTAAACACTTAACGCATAAGCAAAAAAAGACTGTAGGCTAAGGAATAAAATTTTGGCACAATTAAGTAAATGATAATTAATTTCATGAGAAAGATTTAATAAATGTCCTAATTAATCACTGTTAAATAAAAGAATAAATGTGGCTGACAGAAAATTATATACTTGTTTGCAAATGTAAATAAATGATAACAATAATGAATAAATTATAACTATATTAAATTTTTATTTTTTTAAAAATCTTTTTTTTTAAAATAAAATGAACTTGCAAGTATGGACTGAATGGTCAACATGGAGTAGTTGCACAGCTTCATTTTGTGGACAGAAAGGTTTTCGTCTGAGAAGGAGAGAATGCCGCATTCGCGGAAAAGCATGCTATATGTCTCGAAGACAACGTCAGACCTGTTATGGTAAATGTACAGGTAAGCTTTCATATAGCAATAATTGTATGATATGTAAAAAATTTATTTGTTGATTAAATAATGTTTAGCGCTTATTTATTTACTGAATACGACTCAAAATTTACTTACTTACTGATCGATTAAATGAAATTTGGAACTTATTAATTCATTGAGGAAACAAAATAAAATGAATCTCTTTGTTCATTAAAGAAGTATGAGATAAGCTTATTTGACTAACAAAATAGCAAAGACAACAAACACAAAGTAACAAGAATATCTCGATCATTTTAGCAAATGACTTCGAATGGAGTGAATGGTCAGCGTGTTCAACTTCTTGCGATTTTGGCGTGGAACAGCGTGTTAGAATTTGTCCAACGTGTACCGCTGAGGTTTACTATAAAGTTTCCCGGATTTGTTTCTTGAAGGTTAGCTATCTCATTTAGTCGGCGGAAGTATCACATTAGCTTAATAAAGCAATTACCTTTTACTTGCCTACTTAAAAATATCATTTTCATATAAACATGTCTGGTAATCGTAAACTGAATTGGACTCAATAATTCGTTGGAGATATTTACAAACGTATTAGCTTTTTTAATTTTAGAAATGCGGAAATAATTCTGGATATGAACCATTTCGGAAACTAAGTGAATCGTGTAATTGTGCCTCAAGGCATGATATTCGACAGCGCAAATGTCCCAATTTGTTTTGCAAGAGTAATAATAATCTTGCTAAATCATCAGAATAAACTGCTAAGTTTTCAATCT